ATGTTGTTCAGTAGCCATGGCCAGGGTACAACCAAAGACTACATCCCCCGCCCCAGGGAGAGCTGGGCAGAAGAGGAGGAGGAAACTTACATTAGTGAATTTTACATCTTGTTAGGAGGTCTGTTAAAAGTCCTGGTACGATTTTAAAAAATGACTAAAATGACTAAATGACTAAAGACTTATTCTTCTGTATAAACTTTAAAATTAACCCCCCCGCCCAAAAAAAAAAATTCTCTGGAATTTTGATTGACTTTTTTTCAATTTGGAGATAGGCCTTTCACAAACTGCTAATAATAATACCACAATAAAAAATACTACGGTATAAAGAATAAAACAAATAAATAGATGAATGAAAACATAAGAGCCCTACATGAGACCCTATACAGTCTATTTAGGAATTCTGAGTATGATAAAAATGACATTTCAAATCAGTCTAGAAAGGACAGATTTCAATCTTTTTATGGAATAAATGGTGCTGGAATAATTAGATTATGTAGGGGGAGTGGGGAGTATCAATCAGATTCCTACCTAATGCCATCTACTAAAATAAATTCCAGATATTTTGTAGTATTTAAAAATGAGACCATAGAAAAACTGGCATATAGTTAGATATTTATCTGATCTGGGGTCTATGTAAACATAAAGGTAAAAGAGAAATAATTAAGAAAATAAAAATGGAGGTAAAATAAAAATAAACTGAGAAAATGATTTGCAATACACACAATAAAGAAGTTATATCGCTAATATATGAAATGTTTTTCTAAATCAATAAAAGAAAAATAAAGACTCCAAAAGAAAAATGGGTGAAGAATACAAATAAACAAATACTAAAATATAGATAAAAATATGAAGAAAAAAAGTGAAAATATCTACCACTAATATAAAAATGCAAATTAAAACAAGATACAACTTATTATCTACTAAACAGGCCTCCCAAAAAGAGTAACTCATGCTACTCTCCAGTGTTGGTGAAGGGCAAGGAAGCAGGTTCTTGATGATGCTACTGGAAGCACAAGCAATTACAGGCCGTGCAGAGCGTAAAGAATCAGAGATGTGGGCAAGATTCTGTGTGAAGATAAGCAGCATTATTTTTACTATAAAATTATTAATAACAAATTAACAACAACAGGGAATTGGTTCATATGAATAATATACCAGCAAGTATCAAAGTAGTAAAGTGATCTTTAAAAATATGTTTAATGACATGAAAATGGTTAAGATTTCCAAAATCAGTTATAAAAGAGTACAGATGTGATACTAATTAGGTTAAAAATTTTTATGAATGGGGAAAAAAAGGCCATATTTTAAAAATTCAAAATATTAACATTCTGTGTAGTAGGATTATGGATGATTTTTGTAATCAGGACCAAATAACCCAGACCAAACCAAACAAACAAAAACAACAGCAACAAAAACCCAGCAAAAGCTATGTCTCCCATTTTTACGTGAGCAACTTTAGAAAAAGTGTCAGCCATTTTAGAAAATGTTGATACTTTCTTAGTAGCTCTACTAAGAGGTTTGATGGGACAACAGTTGAAGCAGATGAGTCCCATTAACTTTATTGATTAACTAAGAACTTGTTATCTGTTTTGTTCCCCTATCTAGCTTTTAGGAATGAAAGATATCTGCCTGAGTCTGCAATAAAATCTCAGGCGTAAGAGCACTTCTGAGGTGGCCAAGTGCCAAGATAATTCTAATTTTTCATTATTTTTGCTGAAATAGGAAGAAAGAGAAAAGATCTGTATATCTGGTTCCCTGATGATTGCTAGTAGTGGGTGGCAGGGTTGGGTGAAAGGTGGTATCACTCAAAGAGCTCTCGAGCCTGCGTGAACACGCCTTCACGGCCCGGAATCCATCGGCACAGGGGCTCTAGGTTATGAGGGCAGAGTGAGGGGAAACCAACGGGCATTTAAAAGTTTGTACAGCCTCTTGTATTAAGGTGTGCTGGGAGGAAAAAGGAAGGAATAACTGTGATAAATAAGAAAAGAAAAAAAGAGATAAAGGAAGGAATAATTCCAGAGGCCTTTCCCAGACTAGGGCAATTCTCTCTATATTTCAATGAAAAGCAAAGCATTTGTGAAAATCTTTAAGTTGAACCAAACCATGAAACTCCATCCTGGGAGTACAAAGACTCATTTACAATTAAAGAAGGGAGAACGTAAATGAAATAAAGTAATGCGAGTGCCTAAGTAGTCCCTTTAGTGTTGGGGTGGGGTAGGGTCCAGGAAAAAGGGGAAGTCTTCAGGGTGCAAGGTCTCCGTCAGGTCTGCCTTGCTGACCTGGAATTTGAACTTCTTCCATGCATGGGGCATTCATTATCTTTAATTTGAAAACCACTGTCCTATAGGACACTGCTTTCACATCCACACACTGCCCCAGCCATCTCTCACTGGTCAGTACACTCTATCAATGGAGTCCTCCATACCCTCTAGCTCTATCCCAGAAAATGCTGAAACTCCTTTTGTCTCAGGCTGAACAATATCCAAATTGCTCTTAGAAGAGTCATCTGCTATTAGGATTTTTATTTAAACGCTACTCTAGAATCCGAGATGTATTTTTCCCCCAGTAGCTTCTGTTTGCAAAGAGCACCTTGTTCTGCTATCATCTGATCCTTCCTGATAATGAACTTGGTCTACTGGCAGACTCCATAAGCTTGTCATCACAGAAGTGACAAATATTGGTAACAAGACACAATCTGAAAGAATGATGAAAAGAGAACTCTTAAAAGCCTAGCTAGGTACCAAATTGGCTGGTTAAATGGGAAAAATCAGGTTCCAGTCACAGAGTAAATGCTATAGCACTATAGGTAAGAATGTCAGAAGACAGACGGAGCATCAGAATTATTTGGATCATAGCCAATGTTAGATTCATTCTTTGGATTTCCAATATAGTCTTCACTTATAATTGCCGGGATAAGGCACAACTCAATGGTCTTAGCTGATATAGAGAAGCTGCAGAGAAGGTAACTCGGGCTCACAAGTCTGAGTTCAGCACGTGTGGACAGTCACAAACTGGGGATGGCCTGCTTTGGGGAACTACTGGCTTTTAGGATGTAGACCAGAATTCTAACACGTACGCAGCCAGCAACTTGAAATCAATACAACACAACCCAAAGCCACTAAAAAGAGGCAGCTTTCAGGAATCAATAGTGGCGGGTGTGGTTCAACTTTATCCTATGGCTGAACAGGTCTTAACTTGGCCAGAGATCCTGAGGGTCCTAGCCCTACACTTACCTATACATTCATCCATCCGAAAAGGTAGGCTGGGGAGGAGGCCAGAACTATAAAGCAATCTGTTCTCCTTGCCCAGACAGGTTAAGACTATTAGAAAAGATAAAAAAGTCTCCTATCAAACCCACACAGAGTAGTATTTTCAGCAGTTCCATAGTGAGTAACAGCAATCACACTTCAGAAGAATGTCACATAGCCAGATATCCTACTTTTTGCTCAAGGTAGATTAGACTCAGATGAGGGAAGAAAAAAGTAAGGAGACAGGGGAAGGATTCAGCTAAAAAGGGAGATTTTCCTTAATAGTATCTATAGTCCTTTTAATTTTGAACATACATGGCTATGACATGCACTTTACCCTGCAGTGTTCTGGCTAAGACAAACTCTATCTCTGTTTGGTTTAGTTCATGGAAGCCCCTAGCCCTACAGAAAAAGCAGGCTATAGTTCTGGTATTTGATATTTCCTTGTTTTTGTTTTGCTTTGTTTTGACATAAAATGATTCTCAGGAGCCACAATGGCTCTTTACATTTCCTATGTTATTCTTCTCTGGGGGACAGAAGTACTCTCTTTTTCTCACTTTCAAAAGAGGACACAGACACAGCATTGTGTCTTTCTTCAAAGGCTTTTCCAACTAAAATCTTATTCAATTCTTAGGGACTACCCTTAAAAAAAAAAAAAAAAAAGGTACCAGGGACTTTTTTTCAGCCATTAATGCCATTAAGGAACTTTCTACCTAAATAAATGTATGTTATTATCTATCCTCTTTCCAGGACTTTAAACAATAAATTTCCAAAACCACAGAGTACCTTATAGAAATGTCTAATCACTATGTTGTACCCCTGAAACTAATATAATTTTGTATGTCAACTGTAACTGAAAAAAAAAAAAAAAAGAGTACTAATTTGACCTACTGAAGCTACAAATGACAGTACTATATTTAAATGTCAAAAAAAAGAGAAATTAACTCTATAAACATAATTCAGTTTTACAGTTTAACAAGCAATCACATATTACGTCCCACAGAGCAGGGCTGGTCCTCCCCTTTGACCCAGACCTCTGAGGCACTCCCCTGGGCAGCCTAAGTCCTGGCGACTGGCTCTCAGAGCCTGCCAAAGTAGGTCCAAAGAGCTGGGCTGCCATTGTAAATTTTTGATACCATATTTCTATGAACTTTTTCTCTTTCATTTATTCAGGATATCATCAATATCCAGGAAGTCAAAGAGCTGGGGAAGAAGGCTAAATCCAGAGGTCCTTGGCGAGGCCACATTTAACAGGAAGCAGAACCCACAGCACCCGCCAGAAAAGCACCTTTATCACAGCCTGCTGGCTGATCCTGCGGTGACAGGGTGGTGCCTTTCTCAAGATAGTCAGAATATCCCACCCCACCACGATGCACCCACCCACTCCTGGGAGAGTCTGCTACATTAAAGACATTGATCTACCCCATGGGAGAGTAAGGATAAAATATGCCCCACGGCATATTTTGAAGTACCTCTCAGCAAGTCCTGCCATAGCAAAACAGTCACTTTTCAAATAAGCAATTCAGTTAAGCAGCCAGTCCCACGGCATTTTTCCCCCCAGGAAACCCTAAGTCTCCTACTAGTTAAAGGAAGCAGAGGCTCCTAGAATTTTCTGAGGCATCAATTGCCTACCAATAAAGAAAAGCTCAAATCAAAGCTCAACCTCTTTATGAAGGGTTTGTTGTCAGTCATGTCATGAAGGTTTAAGTGGAAATGAGGAAGAAATTCAATAAAATATTTATGCTCTCTTACCATTAGCATCTTGGACTCCAGTAAGTGCTCCGACGGCTGCTGCGGTTTCCCCAGACAAGACGATTTGTCCCCCGCCTTGCAAGGTGGCTTCGGCCAGTGTGGCGACAGCATGGGCGGCAGCTTCACTGCGGGTACAAGAATAGGAGAGAGGGGGTGCGTACGTTGAATAAAGGTACAGCACTGCAGCAAGAGAAACCACCCTTTTGACCCTTCTTTCGACCTACTGACTCCAGAGTTGTGAGCCTACCAGCAAAATACATGATTCCAGTGCGACTGGACAGAGCCAGAATAATTTTTAAATGATAATAAAAATAGCTAGAGAAATCCCAAGTCTTATTTATTTATAAATTTAATGTGAGATTTTCTTTAAACCTAGGAAATGGGTGTTTGAGGATAGAAGACACTCATTATAGTCTCTTCTGTATCAATATCAATTGAGTGCTTGCAAGCCATAGTGGAAACTCTGATCTATATTCACAATGCAAAAGCCATTTTGGTTGTCAATCACAGGTTTTCTTTTTTTCTTCTCTCTTTACAGTAACACAAGGCAGACCGTTTGAAACTGCCCTTTTATAGCCAAGGATGGATGATAATATGAAGTGTCAGCAACCTGGACTTGCTATTTAATTAATATCAAAGAATAACAATATGGTTTACATCCATGATTTCAAATGTAAAGTAATGGTTGACTAACATCCTGTAAAGTCCAACTCTTCTTTGCCTTACTGTATATACAGGCAACACTAAATTAAGACTTAAATTTTAAAATTATCAATATAAGCCCAAAGTCCTTGACTCTAGAAACACAATAAAATAATAAACTTCCCTTCATTGCAAAGCAAATGCTCTGTAGAATAGACATTAACCATGTTTATAGTTAGCACTATTCTACCAGTTTGTGTCCCATTTTTTCCCTTTTTCTTGCTATGCTTTTACTATATGCACGAATACCCATTTTTATTGATTCTATGATGCTACAACTATAAAATGTACTACTATTTTGTCTTTAAGAAAAAAAAAAATTCCTGACGATTTTAAGATTATAATTTACCATCCAAATTTCAGCAATGTTAAAATATGATTTAGAGAAAGAAAAAAAAAAACCACATTAATTCGGCTCCTCTCCTGGGAAAGTATCAGGTACCACTTTGCAGTTACTGAGGGAGTCTCAAAAGTGAGCATAGAGTAGAGGAGGTGAAGTCATTTAGTTTAGCACAGGTGGACAAAGTCCTGGATTTGACAGCAAATAAGCTAGTCGACTGAGCTACAGGCTTTGCCGTAACTATGGCAGTCATCTCACAATCACAAGCTATAGGTAGGGTGGGCGAGGGGCTGTGGACTGGTTGGTAAACATGTCACAACTGTGGGCAAAGCAACAAGTACCAAACTCAACAATGTCACTTTCATCTAACAGAGTCAGCAGACAAGTAAAGCAACGGACATAATCATTCCCTTGGGGTAGAATTCTTGGTCACTATAAGGATTCTAGGAAACAGTAAAAGAAATGCGGTGAACAGAAAAATCTTATTAAATAGAAAATTCTCCCCTTCTTACTCCATTCTTTGCTTTAAAATTTGTATGTCTCTGTTTTAAAAGTCATTTTTTCCCAATAATAAACACAGGTTATGAAAATTTCATTAAGTATAAAAAATTAAAAATATCAGAGATAATTATTTCCTTCCCATCTAAAACACAACTTTAAATAGATAATAATTATACTGCACAGTTTTATAGCCTGCCTTTTTTCACCTAACATTGTATTTCTCCCATGTAAATATTCTTTGACATTAATTCAAAACAATAAATACAAAAGTGCTGACTTTCTCCCTTTTATAGTCGTTTCGCTATGACAACTTTTAATTTGTAGGCTTCTTTTGACTTAGTTCAAGGTTATGATTACATATTTCAAATTGATTTGTTTCCATAAAAAATTTTAGAACGTAACTGAGGTTGAGCAAAAAGCTGAACAGAATCATAGAATTTTATGCAGCCCATGTAAAAGCTAAGATAACCCTCTATGCCAAAACACACTTCTTGGTGATCTGAAACCCACAGCCAGTCATTCCGCAGTATCTATAACATGAATTTAGAGCCAGAGGGGACCCTTGATCTAGAATTACTACTAAGGCTATTCTGTACATTTTATATTTCAAAGGGCCTTATAAGTACTTATCAGAGATAGTAATATAAAGTATGACTTAGTGCCTAGATCCTTCACTTTTAATATTTTTCTAAGAAACTTGTGTCGAATAATACTACTGGCCAGTTTTACAGTATCCAGCTATCAGTGATTAATGATAAGATATTTAATACTCTGACTTGAGTCTTCATGGAAAGATGAAAACTATATTCTTTGGGAAAAGCCGTAGCTGTGAGGTATTTGAAGGAAGCTATGTATGAGAATTGTTTACATGGAAACAGGATCTTGGTTTACAGGTTACTCCAGAGACTACTCATCCCTCATATTTGGTATCACAATTTAAAGTAATCTTATTTCTATGACCATCGAAGGTGATGTCCCACCACTCTTGTATACCCTGGACACATGCTTGCAGTGTGGAATTTCACAGGCGATGACCAGGAGGGCAGCTCCCCAAGCCCTGACATGAAGGTATATCTGTACCCAATCACACCCATTTTGTTATGTCTGAAGCTCTAAATATTTGAAGTCATTTTCTTTAATACCTTTCTAAAATATGGCAAGGTAGAAGAAAAGCTGTGAACCAGCAACAACCTAAAGCAACCTGGGATGTCAGGGGTGAGGGGTCTGCCGGAGATAACAGGTCCACGGGCCAGTGAGGTTACTTTGTCCCGTCAGGGGCCAGAGGCAAAGCAGCAATGACAGATCTTTTACATGAGGCATAAAGACCATGGTGACTCTTGTGGTTGGCAGATCTATTTCCAAATGTATTCTAACCACTTACACTAGACTTCATAGGAAATGATCAAACTATACTGCTAGAAAAAGATTACCGTTACTTAAAAGATGAGTAGGGATTAAAATGTCTCTAAGCTACCACTTCACAATTTTTTGACAAAAGTGATCCCCCGATCAGTTACAAATGAGAACTTTCCAAAGACTTTTTATCTGCAAGTGTCCAAACTTCTCTACAGGAAAAAGAAGCAGTTGCACAGTACCTGCCCTCCATTTCCAGAAAGGATTTCTAATCTTGGTTGTCCATCCCATTTACTGGACAAATAAATACCAGTTCATATATTAAAGCCATATTTTATTTTAATAATATCTCTAATTTTAAGTCAATAGTATTTCCTTTTTTTAAAAAGAGGTAACGGTAATTATTTTCTTAAAAATATGATTTACTTCTTTTTTTAAACAAAGTCTTCACAGCAGAAGAATAGCAACTCTAAATTCCTTGAGAAGAGGAAACCATCGTAAGCATTTGTTTCCCCATAGCACTGAGTCACAGCACTATACGTAGTAGACACACAGTAAAAATTATCTCGGTGTCAGTAACACAGTGTAAATTTCTACTAGGGCAACTGTAGATTCAGTCTATAAATATTTATCATGTATTTCTATATGCAAGGACTGTACTGACTCTGTGGAAGAATTTCTTTAAGAGGGAGTATAAATTAGGGCAGCTTAATCAACAAACTGAAACTTGAAATTAATCACTGAATCACAACGACCAAATGATTTCACTTTCTTTCCTCTTTGGTTGCTCAGGCTGAATAGCTCTACTGGTTTTTTGTTTTTGTTTTTATTTTTGTTTTTGTTGTGATGCTCTTTTCTTCATTTATTCACGTTGATTCTCTCCCCATCTCCTTTCTAAAAGTGTTGATTTATTATGTACTTGGAAAATAATTAAAATTAACTAGTTTCCAGATATTTTAATGACAATTTCTCCATAGCCCCTTTGGGTAATTATAATGCCAGGTTGGGCTAAAGGCTGTCTGAGCCCAGGGCCCTTGTTCTGACTTGGTACACAAAACTCTTAACGGCGTGGTTGAAAAACTAGTCTGTCCTGCATCTGTCCTGATGCCCTTTTCCCTGCTAACAGATGATGGAGCCCCACTGCTTCTTCTTCTCCACCTGCCATTGCATGCAGTTTGCCTCTCCTTACTCTGTGCTCACATCTGCTGTTTATAGCGCAGCAGAGGTGCAGGTGATTATTAGAGAACCATGCTTGTCCCATCTGCACCTGAAACAGAGACAGGCTAAAAGGGAGCAGCTTTATGAAATCATTTTGTTACCAGAGGAATGAAGACCAGATTTTTCAGTGTTTTTCACTAAGATGACTTCCAGCAACAAATTCTGTGGAGAGGCTGGGAGTGCTTCTCATCCGACAGAGAAGCAAACGCCAAAGGCTTGTGTCTCGAGCCCGATCCTCCTGCCCTTAGACAGCGAGTTACCTCTCCTGGAATCAGAAAGCCCCGAGGTTCCCCTAACTGCTGTAGTCTAGTGTTTGCTGCCGTGCCTGGTTTCTTTACCCGCAGCAGAGGCTGCAACACACCATCCCCCAGCACTCATCTGGCGTTGAACTATCTGATTGCAAACAGATTTCAACATCTCTTTACTCCTCTGACATGCCACAGTGAAACACATTCTCCTTCCTTTGGAGTAAACACTATAGCCGCCTCAGCTGCACCTGAGTTTGTTAACAAGCTCTCAGGGGAAACCATTACCCTCCCTGCCTTTAGAAATAAGTTCTGGTCCTGACACTAACGGGAGCCAGAATGTGCCTCATATTTTCCACGATGTACAGGGTTCCCAGGACACTCACACTTCACGGGAATATCCAAGGTGCTGGCTCAATGGAATCCAGTTTTGCTGGTCTTTAATGGTGGCCAGTTAGGCCCCATGCTACAGTGAGAAGTCACCAGGCAAAAGAGAGGGAGGCTCTCTCTCTGGCCATGACTTTCAAGAAGTTTATCTGTGTGTCCTCTCCCGAAGGAAGGAGTGGGATTGGGCCAAAGTGTGAGGAATCAAATAAGACTTTCATGTTACTGAAAAGTGACATGGTTTAATGGGCTAAGAAAAAAAGTTTCAATTCCAGGTCACTCAGGCACTCAGTGGGTAACTCAGGGAGGACAAGCGTGTGTGCACTTTGGTTTTCTATACCTAGTCAACCAAGTCCTGGCCACACTTCTTCAAAATCAGTCACTTTACTCCATTCTTACTGCTTTAGTTTCTAAGCCTTTAACAAATTGCACTTGGATTGCCTCTTCCTAACTGGCCTTCTATTTCTAATCTCATCTCACTGTAAGCAGTTGTGAACAGACAAATCTTAACTCAATCTCCCAAACAGTATGGTTTCCTTGAAGGGAGACACTATATTTTAGAGCACTCTATTCACAACCTTACCCAGCTGAGTGCTGGCACGTCACAAGAGTTCAGTGACTACTGGAGACTAACAGCTACTGTGCACAATTATAACAGCAGTGCTCCCCTGGGACAGGAGCTGATTTAAGGGTCTCACGTGCACTGAATCTTCCAATTCTCTCAACATCCTACAAGGTAGGTAGTTATTACCCTCATCTGACAGAAGAAGGAGGCCTGGGCTCTGAGTTCAAGTCAATTACCCTAGCTCAAACAGCTAGTGACAAAAGCTGGGATTCAAACCCAGGTAGTCTGATTTCAAGATCCACACCCTTAGCTATTAGTTAAAATGCCTGGGTCCATCGAAAATAAAATTGCGTCAGCAGTGAAAAAGAAGAATGATATGGAGATGATCTTTTCTGTCAACAACCAGTAGATGGAACCAAGCAGGAAACAAGACTATTTAGTTTTGGAAACTATCCCTTACTAGAATATCCCATTCTGCAGCACCCTTCCTAAACATAACTGAAGAAAAATTCCAATTATTTTTCCCCAAAACCTGAAGCTTATTTTATTGCAAAGTCATTGATAAGCAAAGGAAAAACATTTCCTGAAATGTCAGTAAAATCAGTTCTCAATCAGCTAAACATGGATTAATACCCCTAACAAAAATCAGTTTCTTTTGTAGGGTAAAAGGAAAATCAGTCCTGAAGCTTTTTGATTTGTTATTATATCCTTTAGTCCGGAGGTCCTCAACCACCAGGCTGCCTAGACTGGTACTGGTCTGTGGGCTATTAGGAATTGGGCAGCACAGCAGGAGGTGAGCGACGGGCAAGCAACCGAAGATTCAACTGTATTTGCAGCCGCTCCCCAGCACTAGCATCTCGGCCTCAGCTCCACCTCAGATCACCAGGCATTAGATTCTCATAGGCGCGCCAGTCCCTGGTGCCAGAAAGGTTGGAGAACTGCTGCTTTAGCCCCTTTAAAAAAAAATTCAACCTTGCTGCTTTTGGTCTATTAATAGGCACAGAATGGGATAAAGCAAAAGAGACCCATATCCCTTGATCAACAGACTCGGGCTGGAAGTCAGAAAAGCTGGACTGGTTGCTGGGGGTGGGGTACAGTTGGAATGGGGTGGGTGAGGGCCGATTATAACCCAATTTACAATATCCTATGGACTATGAGTATTAGGCTCCAACTGCCAATTGTGACAAACTGAGGTATAACATTTTTCTACAACCGTAGACAGGGACAGATTCGCCACCCTCATTTGTTCCCCCTACCCCTGCCTCCACCTGTTGAGTGCCATGGTGACTGTAGCTCCCTGTTGCATTTCCTGAGAAGCTGCCACTGCGGCCTCTGCCAATGATGCCACTGCCTGGGTGGCCTCTGATGCTTGCGTTGTCTGGATGGTCATCTCACCTCCTTGTAACGTGGCCCAATTTTGTTCCACCTGAGGCAGAAAGGACATGATAGTAAAGAATCAAAGTCACAAAAGAATTATAATTGTTAAGTCATCTTTCTAATTAAATGCTATGTGCTCAGCTAAATACATAAATACTTTTAAATTAACATGACCTACAATGTGCAGAACAGGATTTTTAGTATGCGATCTTTTGTGTGAAAAGGGAGAGAATTACAATATGTATTTGAACTTGCTTATATGTGCGTAAAGAAATTCTAGAAAGACAGAAAAGAAACCACTGAAAACATGTTCCTCAGTGTGTTGGGGCCGGGGTGGGAGTGGGGGTTTTAGGAATGAATAGCTTGAATAGGAGACAGAAAGCAGTATTTTCCACTGTATGCTTTCAAATAATTTTTGAATTATCAATGTTATCTATTCAAAAATTTTTAATTTAGGCCATAAATGTAATTCTGAAAAAATTCAAAGTATATCAAGGGAACTCCAGACCCTTTGCCCAAAGGCAACTATTGTTACTTATTTCTTTACGTCTTTGCAGGGATATTCTCTCATTGTGCAAGCATATTTACACACGTGTGTGCACACACACACACACACACACACACTCCTACTTCCCCCTTTCTATTCCCTCCTTTTAAAAAATAAAAATGGCAGTATATACTACATATACTTTTGCACCTTGCTTTTTTCACAAATAATACATCTCTGAAATGATTCTATTTTGGAATGTATAAAACTGCTTCATTCATTCATGATTCATAATAATGGCTGCACAGCATTGTATTATAATACAGATACACCATGATTTATTTAACCAGCCACCTTTTAATGGGTATTTAGGCAGTTTCCAGTCTTTTGCTATTATAAACAGTACTGTGATGAATATCCTCATATACTACTTTGTATATTTTACATGAATCTATTTATAAATTCCTGAGGTGGAATTGCATATCGAAGTCATTTTTTATTTTTATTTTTGATGGAAACTACCAAATTCAGTAAATAATTTTTTTAATGTGTAAACCCAGTTTTCCTTTTAGTGTGGAGAAATTATGAAGAAACAAAATGAAATAACTCGCCATCTGGTGATAGAGTAGATTAGAATTCAGCTTTGCTAGAGCTAGCACAGGGTTTCTCAACCCTGCCTTATTAACACTTCTTGTAGGGGACTGTCCTGTGTATTGCAATATGTTTAGCGGCATCTCTGGTTTCTACCTGCCAGATGCTAGTAACAGCTTCCCCAGTTATGACAATTAAAAATATGTCCAAACAGTGCCTCTTGTCCTCTCTGAGAGGTGTATGTGGGGGTTCTCCTGGTTGAGAATCACTGATTTTAGTACAATGCTTTGCATTTAGAGATTTCTTAGTTCTGGGTACCTGACTCTAACTACTTCAGTGCATTTTGCTCAATAACCACTGGTTGATTAATTATTCTCTCTCAAAAACACAAAGCAGCAGGGCAGGGAAAGCAATTTCTATTCTAAAATATGGTAGGTGATAAATCAATCACCTCAGGTAAAATACTTCCACAGACTCGGGTCGTCAGGACGTTAGCGGTGCTTACTGGAGCTCTTGCTGTTCCTGCTTTACATTGCTGGGTCAGTGAGTGGTTAACTTGTGCCTACATGTTACTGTATCTCAAAGAAATGCCACAAGCTCTAGGAGAGGTAGATATTTAAAATGCCTCCTACTTTGGCTCTATTACCACACAGATTATGACGCTGCTTCTCAGAATGCTGGTCAAAAGCCTCCCAGAACAAGACATTCCTGTGAGCCACCTTAGTATTTGGCCTGGGTTTTCATAGGCAGTGAATTGTGCCAACAAATCTTCAGGGTCTGACACTAAGAGACAGAGATATCCTATTCCCTTCCCTTGGAGCTGCAAAGTCGCCCACTCAGGAACTCACAAAACTCTGACTTCTCAAGGTTTTATCTCTTTGATCTCATTACTTCAATGAGCATCGGTGCAAACAATGCCACTTTAGATGGCAAGTTATATTGACAATTCGGAGGTTCAATGATTCAATTCAAAACATCAGCAGAAGCTGGCCAGCCCTGTCACCTTTTGCCATTAAACAGTCTCCCTCTTTCCAGATTTGCCCCTCTACATTTTGCCCAACCCTCTGCTGAGCTTGGCCTAGTACAGCTCTCTCAAGTACTTATACTTCAATGGCAGCAACTTAATATACACGCATTTAGTTACAACTATATCTGTAGCAAAAATGGTATTAAAATGTTGCCATATATAGCAGCGGTCCCCAACCTTTTTGGCACCAGGGACCGGTTCTCCTATGAGAATCTAATGCCTGATGATCTGAGGCAGAGCTGAGGAGGTGATGCTAGTGCTGGGGAGCAGCTGCAAATACAGAGGAAGGTTCCCTCGCTTGCCCACTGCTCACTTCCTGCTGTGCAGCCTGGTTCCTAACAGGCCACGGACCGTACCTGTCAGCAGCCTGGGGGTTAGGGACCCCTGATATACAGTATACTTTAAGGAAGTTAAATTATAGGCATGAAAGATTCATGGGTGGCGGTAAAGGGTGGAGAAAAAGTAGGAAAAGAAGCAGATAAAGATTTCTATTCAGAATAACAGCAAGTAATAAATAAATCAGCTTAAGTGTTAATGCATCCTTGGAATTCCTACTCTTGAGTCTCAGTTGTGTTTGCTTGAGCTCTTGCTCTCCTTTTCTATCTGTTGAGAGCCACTGTATAGTTCCATGTCCTAAAGAAAGGGCCACAAGCCCTAGGAGGAAAGATATTCAGAGGATGTATAGTTTAGCTTCTATGCTTTTCTGAGAGAGACCCATGACAGTGAGGCCCTTCAAACTGAGGCTACTCTTCTCCCCTCTCTTGCTATAGTGAACCACATGTGGTTCTTCCACACTTTCACAGTGGGATGCACTGTATGTGCTGCTCCCTTTGATAGGAATGAGGCCTCCCATCCTTGCAGCTTTTGCCTCCTGTGCACTCTTCCAGTCTGAGTTCAGGTGAGACTGAAGGAGCTGAGACAACTCCACTCCCCTACAGAACCAGGTTCAGGGCCTAGCCTCTGTGTTCCACAGCATCTTGGGCTAGTCTACTCGATCCTTATCTCCTTGTCATTGTTCTGTGATGCGTTTGTCTCTACCACCAACCTGAGTGCTCCTTAAGAGCAAGTGTGTCTTTATTTTCCTGTGTTGGTAGTACCTACAGTGCCTGGCAGAAAGTGTTCGTATGCTGAATGGGTGGATGAAGAAAATAGTCCTTATTTTCCTATTTGTTCTTCAGCTTACCCATATTTCAGATAAATTGATATTCATTAAAAAGCCCACCTAAAATAAGTTACGCTACTTCAAAACTTACATGTGTTGATGGCTCAGTTTAAAACTCATGTCTCTAATATCTTTGCATTTTTTTTCTTCTTTTTCTAACAGAATCATATATACCATTATTCCCAGATACCATTCCACTTCAAATTTTGACTTTTCTGACACATGATGTAATTAAAATTAACATCACCAATACTAATTGGTGGTCTTATCAGACAGAATATATTCTCAAATCCATTTATATTTGTAAATTGCTATCAAAATTGAAACTGTAAATATTTTGAAATCAATATATATAGTTTATTTCATATTATTTTGAAATTCTTTCCTTGTTCATTTCTAAATGTCTATGTACCTTATTCTGTGTCCTAATTAGTTTTAAACTGGCTAAAGTTAGAGATTTTTTTTTTGTTGCTTTGTAACTACCTAGATTATTGGGTATTCTCAGCACACAGAGAGTACCCAAACAGATTTGGGAAACCATATGTTACCAGAAGAGACAAGCCCCCAAAAGTCCAAATTTGGACTAAATGTAACCAAATGTAACTAACCAGGGTGATGTGGTCCAATGTAAGAGCCCTCACTTGCAGGGCTGGGTTAACAAAATGACCTTACAACTTCTGAAAATATAGGTATCATTTATTTTTATAAAATACTTTTGGCTCCTTGGGAGAAAAGATGCTAAATACAAGGCAGTAGGATGTTTTTACTGAGTCACCTGATATAATGTTTCATTGGCTTGATGTGGTCTTACCTGCCCCAAGTCCGTGAGATATTTTGATGAATTGCGATTCTTATGGCTCAAAACTAAGATGCTAACAATCAGTAATATCGAGCAGAAATCGGAAGGCAAACAGAATCATACTATAACAGCTGTAACGTTTTGTCACTTTTTGAAATAATCTATGCTTCTCTTCGTATCCTTTTTGTTTCACTAGAAGTGTGGAAAGTTAGAATTTTTTTTTAATCTGACTGAATTTGGGTATTTACCAACAAGCTATTTATGTTATTCACCTACTCCAACAATAGATGACTTTTGAATATGTTAATTACCTTTGAGTATGTGAAGTTATTTAGTAAAACGGGTTTCAATGAATTAGTCTCTAGAGAAGTGTTTAAGAAACACAAAATTACTTTCTTTAAGTAGCACCAGGAAATGTTCGGTAGGGAGATATGGTTGATAACTTTGACTAAGTCAAAAAGAAACATATCTCATAAGTGTACGTACCTATCACCATCTTCTTGACCTAAAGCACTTCAAGAAGTGCTCTCTAGTTTTAGTGTTTCGGGACCGACATATTTTTCCCTCAGCTAATCCATGTTCTTCCATGATGTTTATACATTTATAAAAGTAAATATCTGTTAACCTTTACCTTTCTACACTGAAAAACCAAATGCTCCTGCCCCAAACCTCCCAGATTCCCTAGCTGGAGACACTCTCTCCAGAAGGCACAGACCACTTTGCAGCATTGCTCAGAGCCTGGACCACAGTTCATTCATGTATACATTTCTCACCCCACTAGACAGGAGCTCCTTGAGAGCCGAATACCTGTGTAAATCAACACATCAACTGCAGCACAACAGGGGCTCATATATGTTGGCTGACGGAGGAGCCCGGCTGTGTTTCTCTCTTATCTCGCTAGCCATGAATGAGATCTTTATCAGTTCTGTCCCTTTTCTGAGATGCACAAATGAAAGTGACTTTGTGCTGTTCTGAGTAGAAATACTCCATGGTTTTGAATGAGGGTCAGATAATTTTAGCTTTAGTTCTGATACTGCCTTTTGACATTTGTTGGCTATTTTTCAAACTTCAGGAGTACACCGCGCTTTAGGGGAAAAGCCCGGTGACTTAATGAACCCTTTCCTAAACTTCACTGATGGCTCAGAGCCTAGAGAACATTTTTATAAATGCATTATCCAGCATCAACACTTACTCTGAGACTCTAGGCATGTCACCCGACTGCTATGTTTCAGTTTTCTCATCTATAAAGTGAAGATGATAACAGAGCTTATACTTCATAGGGTTGAATGCTTAGTTTACCAAGTACTCAATAAAGGTTAGCTACCTTAGATTAACATCCCATAATCACCTTGGTTTTGGCAGGGAAAAATTTTCTTGTGAAGCCTTTTCAAAGGCATGTTTAAAATGTAGCAGATCATGTCTACTGATTTACAAATATATTTATTCCTTCAAAGAATGGTTTAGTCAGCTCCAATTTTAATGATCTAATTTTTTTCATAATGTCCAAAGATTAAATTTTGTTGGATTCACAGCATAAGAGTATTAAATGGATAATCCTATTTTATTATGTATTATATAAAATGCTATATTGCCAATGTAAAACTGTAAGTTCCTGGTAGTCAGGTCTAAATTATAAAAATCTATGAATTTCAACTGTTATAATAATTAATATACACAGCATAAGATACTTTGCAAAACTGTCATGATCTGATGTTTTCAAAGGTTTAAATAAAATAATGCTACAGATATATAGGCTACTTACAGTCTCTTCATCTTCTGGACCCTCACTTCTCCTTCACCCATACATTCATGTATTTAAGAAGACGCAGACAGAATCCTCTTTCTTACCTCTCCATCAGCCACAGCAGAGTAATTCACTTGAGCAACAGTGACTGTGGTTGGCAATTCTGAAGCATCAGCCAATGTGGCTACTGTTGCCCCTGTACCAACCTAAAGAAAAACATGGAAAGTGGTGTCAGTGGTGAATTCTTCTACTCCTCCTTACTCCTAAGTTGAGATTCATTTAATCTCAATTCAGCACAGATAACAAGAATATGCTTTGTAATATGAAGTGAGTTACTAAAATCATATCCCAGACACTAACATGAGTTTCAGAGTTTTACTTAAACTAGATAAAGCAGTATTAGAAGCTATCACATTTCACCACCTGTACAACCAACTTTCTACTCATTCCTCAATTTGAATTTCAGAGGTTCCCTATCTACCAACAAATCTTATTTTACCTCAGAAGAGGCAATTCAGAAGGAATATTTCCTGGCCATTGACAGGGAAAAACAGTAAAAAGCCATTTTTATAGTATTCTGTTTGGGAAATGTCCGGAAAAGCTATCTGTAGCTCTGCATTTAGCAAAATGCAAACAATTTAAAATGTTACTGAAAAATCAATTTTAGGTAGGGAGATCTTGTGGAATGATATAAAGTTCATACGAGAGTTTGCATAGAGAATTATTTTCTCCAGTCGGAAGAGTGGTGCCCGCTGATTCACCGCAGGAACCAGTCTGGTAACCACAAGGTTTACTCACCTGGATAAGGGAGACCGTGCCATCGGGGTTACTAAAGGTCTGGACTACGGTCTGTGATGGTACAAGATGAGCTATACTGTGTGTGGTTGTGGCCTGTGTTTGCGTTTGCTGATCTTCAAAAGCATACAAAAGGTCCTCCCGCCCATGCTGTTTATAACAGTTTTTAACTATGGTCCGTAGTGCTTGGGTCCATGAAACCTGTCACCAAAAGACCAGAAAAGCACGGTAAGTCACAAAAATGTTGGTTATTCAATCCCACTATGGAATAAACAGCTGCTTATTTATCAAACCAAATCGAAACAAACCTCATACAGAGTGAACTCTCAGGATTATTGCCCACAGACTGATTCTGACACAAAGAAATTCAGGGCCACGTACCAAAGATTTTCCACTGGTTCCTTCCTACCTAACCAAAGTTTGGTTTAGCTTTCGGGTTTCATATCCTGTTCTAACCTGAGGCCAACTCACAAAAAGAAGGTGATTCTTTTGTCAGGAATTCTATATTAAGATTCTCAGTAAATTTCCAAGCTAACTGAAAATAAATATGCAGAAAAAGTAAGGAATGACATCTAGTTTAGTGTTTCTTCATTTTTATCAGCAGACCTGGCCAACTTCCTAACTTCCTAACTTCCTAACTTCCTTCCTAACTTCCTTCCTAACTTCCTAACTTACTTCCTTCCTTCCTTCCTTCCTTCCTTCCTTCCTTCCTTCCTTCCTTCC